GTTGCTTTTGCTTACATGTATTATTATCTACAAGTCGATTGTCTACATACATTATTGCCTACAGCTCACAACCTTCCATATGAAATGAAGACCATCTCACACCAAAAAATAAGGATTAGTTTTTTAGGGTTAGATTTTTTTGGAAAAATATTCCAAGCGACACTATCTCTACGCTGACACCCCACTGTCCACATGATAAATTTCATAAAATATAAATGTTTCCCAAATTCAATTGTTTATAATTCAAGGACTCTATGGCCGGTATTCATAATTGGTTCATATAAGATCATCTTAAATAATGTCTTAAGAGCTAATACAGTCTTCGATCTATTTGATTCATGATATCTCAAAACTGTAATCAGGATGATTCTAAATATAAGATCCGACAATAATTTATTAATGCCGCCTTATAAGTCTCAACATTTGTTGTCGAGAACAAAAAATTTACTGTTCAAAATTTAGTAAAGGTCATCTTTATATTGACATGTATGACATATTTACAATAACGTCAGAGACATTGTAGTCTATTATTCGGTAATTTTTCGAGATAGCAGGTTCATCGCGCAGATATGCTGAAGTATCTGTGTGTGTGTGTGTATTAAAAGGTCGATAATTATAATTAATCAATTATAATTAATGTGAATCAACTATACTCTTATCTGCACAAACGTGTAATATACAAAGTAAGTCGTAAAAAATAATATTTTTTAAATTCTTTATTATATATTCTTTATTATATATTTCTTTAAAATAATGTCAATTATTTCTTATATTATGTTCTTCACATTTACACACATGCGCACGCACACGCACACGCACACGCACACGCACATACATAATATTCTACAGAAATGATAAAAAGAAAGTATTCAGATAAGTACTTATATTGTGCAAAAATAAGACATAAATAAGAACTTTAAAATACTTTTTTTGTGTATAATTCCATTAATATTTTATTTTAAAAATAAATTAAACATTAATCAATATTTTTATTTTTTTGATTAATTTGAAAACTGCAGAGACATAACAATTATAATTTCAAAATTCTATGTAATACATCCTGAGAGTAAAATCTTTCTTCTCAAGAAAATATTAATAAACGATAAATATTATATTAGGTGAAAATATATTAAAATAGTCAAAGCAAATCAAGAAACAGATTTAAACTTTTCGTTCTTTAAATAATTTCTCAATCAATAACTAAACAATTCGAATCTTACATAAAAATATAGGATAGAACGTACCTTTTTCGTCTATTTCTCGCGATAATGTTTATGTTTCTGAAGAGCAGATGTGTTGATTATTTAAAAATTGTGCTTGTACTTTCAAGAAACAATCATAATCATATAATGTAATTATAAGTATGTCACTGTAGAAAGATGTTATTTGTTATCGTAAATTTTCACTGACTGCTTTAATAGCCCCGCTCTACTCCAATTATTATTCTTAACGTTTTTTTAATTTTGGTAGCAAATATTCACTATAGATAAATGTAAACACGCTACATAGATGTCTAAAATTAATTTTTTTTAAATTAAATGGAATAAATTAATTTTTTTTTGTTTTTTTTTTAAGAAAAAATCCTATGAAAAAGACAATAAGATAAATTAATTACAAATCAAAGTATACTTTCAACAAATATTAAATACATATGATTCTTATAATAAAAAAGTGCAAAAATTATTTTTTCTAATTTTTTTCATTTTTATATAAAAATTCATATTAAATTACAATAATTTATTTTATTTTTTTCTTTAACATACAATTGCAGATACGTAAAAAGAGGGATTCGATATGGGATTTCTAAAATTGTTATTAAATATTAGTCTAATATTAGCCTTAAGAACGATTCCTTGCATCGGTATAAAAAATTTAGAAATTATTGATCGATTACCGAAGAACGTGATACCAATTCAATATAACATCCATCTAACAACGTATCTCAAAGAAGGCAACTATACTTTTTTTGGTGAATCCAATGTCAATATCAAAATTCGTTATGCATCATCAACAATAAGCTTACATTCAAGAAAATTAGAAATAATTGAAACGGTGACAACATTGATTAATGACAACGGTACGATTTATAAACCAATGAAACATATTCATAACAATGTAACTGACATTTTGACACTGGATTTCAATGATGTATTACCGTCCGGTCTATATATCCTGAATATGAAATTTGTCGGTTATTTATCAGAGTCTTCCGAAAAACTGGGTTTTATGAAATTTTGGTACGCAGATATTGAAAAACATAAGTAAGTAAATATTAAAACATAAAAATACATTTGCAAATACATGTAATAAGCAACTTTTGTTACTTCTTGCTTTTATCACTTTTCCATACATAAAAAGATTTTTCAGTAAAACATAATTATAATGTACATATACATATGTATATGTATAATATACATACATATTAAAATATA